CCCTTAAGTAATCCAAATAATCTAACGTTCTTAATCATTGTTTTAATGCAGCGGTTACATGGCTCCAGAGTATGCAATGGAAGGTTTATTTTCGGTGAAATCGGATGTGTATAGTTTTGGTGTATTATTGTTGGAATTAATCTGTGGTCGGAGGAACACTAGCTTTCGGTCAACTGAATACTTAACGCTTATTAGCTATGTAAGTTCGTTCCTCACTTCTCCCATTTGTTGGAAACTTGAGTTTGCAGGTTGAGTTGTAGTTGATCATAGACTAAATATGAAAACTTTTTTCAGGCTTGGAAACTTTGGAACGAAGGAAGAGCGATCGAACTTCTCGACCCATCAATTCGCGACACATCGCCCGAGAATGAAGTATTGAAATGCATACATGTAGCAATGTTATGTGTACAAGACTCTCCTGCATATAGACCAACACTGCAATCCTTGGTGCTAATGCTGGAGAGTGAATCTATATCACTGCCACAGCCAAGGCAGCCCACCTATACTTCCACAAGAGCCTCGATCGATACGGACTTGTTTACAGAAGGGCACGACATTGTATCGTCGAATGATGTAACGGTAACAATGCTGGATGGTAGATAGCATATTGTTTTGGTTTCAATTCTCCCATCTTCATGTTAATATGCCATTTTGGTGGTGTTGAAAGCATAGATAGATAGCTTGTGAAGCTGAGTATAGTTTGTTTAGGAAATCTGTTCATATGAATGATTGGTTTTGGTTGATATTTGCCCGATGATGAGTTAACAATAGCAGAATTATCCGCTTTAGTTCGTTATGTATCGACATCAACCTCATGATTTTAAAATGTGTATGTTAAGGAGAGGTTTTTCATCTTTCCAGATGAGAGATCTCACAATCCACCTCCCGAGGTCAACGACTTCACTGGCATCCCACTCGATGTCAGACTCTGATATCATTTGTACCAACCTAAGCTCACGGCTAGCAAACATAGTCTGTCTGTTTCGTTACGTATTACCATCAGTCTTACAGTTTTAAAATATATCGATAATAATTTTGATAATATTGATATAATTTTAATATGAACATCATAATATATTTTTTAAATTTGGATAATGTAAATTATGGTTTTATTTTTTTTATATATATTATATAAAAGAGGATTAGTGAGTGGGCTTTTGGGTAAATTCAAGTGTCTGCGATTTCTTGCTTCCATCAGACAAAGATCGAGCACGGAGGGCTCTCTCTCTCTTCCTCTTTCTCTGTAATGGAAGTCTATCGTGTTGGAGCTTTTGCAGCGTCCAAAACATCATCAGACCTTGACTGTTAAAATCTCTCGGGGCAAAAAGGTTGGCGTTAATGGCGGCTCCATATCCAGATGATTTCAAGTGCCCTATTTCTCTGGAGATAATGTCCGACCCTGTAATACTCTCCTCCGGCCACACCTTTGATCGTTCCTCAATCCAACGGTGGCTCGATGCCGGTCACCGGACTTGCCCAATCACCCAATTGCCCCTTCCTCAAAACCCTAACCTAATCCCTAACCATGCTCTCAGAAGCTTAATTTCAAATTTCAACCCTGTTTCCCTGTCCAAGCCATTTCTCCCTCATCCCTCGCCCCAAACCCTAATCTCGATTCTCATATCTCCTTCTTCCTCCCTCGATTCCAAGCTCGATTGCCTCAATCAACTCGCGAGGGTTTCGAAGCGCGATTCCGCTATGCGTCGAAGATTGACCGAGTCCGGGGCCGTCTCGGCTGTTCTTAAATGCGTTGGTTCTGACGATCCGAGCCTTCAAGAGAAGGCTCTGTCGCTGCTGCTGAATCTTAGTTTGGACGATGATAACAAAGTGGGTTTGGTTGCAGAAGGGGCTATTGGCCACACCGTGGCTGCTCTTCAAGCGAGGTCCCCCGATTGCAGAGCCGTTGCGGCCACGATGCTGACGAGCTTGGCGGTTGTGGAGGTTAACAAGGCTACAATTGGGGCATATCCTCATGCGGTTCGCTCTCTGGTTTGTCTCTTACGGAACGGCAACTACAGAGAGCAGAAGGAAGCTGCAACTGCGCTTTACGCCATTTGTTCATTCCCCAGGAACCGTCTGCGGGCCGTGGAATGTGGGGTTGTTCCCATTTTGCTCAAAATTGCCAATTCTGGGCTGGATAGAGCAGTGGAGGTTCTGGGGCTTTTGGCCAAGTGCAGGGAAGGTCGCGAAGAGATGCAACGGTTCAAGGGATGTGTGGAGATTTTGGGTTGTGTTTTGAGAAATGGAGCCCCAAGAGGGGTTCAATATTCTCTTCTAACTCTGAGTTCCCTGTGCTGCCACTGCGAGCGACTGTGCGTGGAGGCCAGAAGAGAAGGCGTTTTGGGAATCTGTATGACATTGATTGATGACAATAATGAAAAGATCAGAGCAAATGCTGCAAATTTGATTCATATACTGCGCGGAAACAATACATGAGAAGGAATCCAATCGGATTCTTCTGCAGTCAGACAACTGGTGGGTTGGCTTGGGTCTTGGGGAATGATATATCTTATGACTCATGTGGGTGGTGGCGTGTAAACCAAGGGATTTTGCTGTGGCGTAATGTCGATGCCTCGTTCTTCTTACCAAGATGACTCCAATTCTTCTCGATTAGGGGTTTCCACTGTTCCCCTCTTTTTGGTTCAATAGTTTCTGTACAGAAAAAATATATTAGAATCTGGTAAGATCATGCCTTTTCTTTTATTTCTTTTAATATTTCATATATATATATATATGTGTGTATATAAAATGTAAATTGAATTAAAGAACGACAGAATCAATCAAGTACCGGAGGTTTTCCAAGGTTGGTTTTTACCCAGAAATGATCAGCATTGTAATTGGCCTCAGTTTATGAAACTCTCTTCCTTTGGACTCAACAAGGAAACTTTACGTGCTGATAACAAAAGTGTATTGTTTTGTGGCGGTGGTGTCATGTGTAATGCTGCTGCTTTCTTAAATATGGATTTGGTAGATCACTAGTGTACTTGTAATTAGTTGCATTCATATCAAATGGGATGCCACCGGAGCCATACCAAGTGTACGGACTGCTCTGTTGCCTGTTGTTCTAAGCTTTACGAGCATTAGTGTGATTTCAAAATATATACAGATTTTGGTGGACTGGATGGATACTTTGGTGCAGCGAAGTTATTGCGTGGTAGGGCTGTGCGTGGAGGTTTGTGGTTGGAACTTGATATTGGGTTTTGGTTGGCGTGGCCGTGGGAGGCCTGTGGATGAAGTTATGTTGTTTGTCATTTTCATACACCACATAGGGTGCAAACATGGAGCCCTCCAACTTTGTTCTTCTCTTCCTAATTTATAATCTTCATTCTTCATCCAACCCCATCCTGTTGCAAAAAAAAAAAAAAGAGATCACCTCCCTAGATGAGTTAATTGTGAGATCCCATATTTATTGGAGAGATGAACGAATGTTAGTGCAAACTTGACTTGAAGGGGATAGATTCGTCGGTTGGAAAGGGGAACACAAAATTATTTATAAGGGTGTGGAAATCTCTCCTTAGCACATGCGTTTTAAAAATCTTTAGGGGAAGCCCGAAAAGTCAAAAGAGGACAGTATCTGTAGGCTTGAGTCGTTACAAATGATATCAGAATCAGACACCAGATAGTAATGCCAACAAGGATGTTGGACTTTGAAGGGGGGTGGACACCGGTCGGTATACCAACGAGGACGCTGGACTGCGAAGGGAAGTAAACACTGAGTGGTGTGCCATTGAGGGCGCTGGGTCCCGAAGGAATGGACACCAGACAGTGTGTCAACGAAGACACTAAAGAATCGGGGAGTGCTTCAAACCTTCCATAATTTCTCACTCTATTAATTTCTTACAGCTTTTGTTAGGAATGAATTCTATCAATTTAGTATAACAAAAAAGAACTGTATCCACTTATTTTATAGTTTGATAGTTTATTGGTTGAGATTGGAGTCAAATGGGTAAATTATTGGTCAAAAAGGTTAGAAAAGTGGAGACCTATAGAAATTCTCTCTCACAGGCAGAGGCACGGAGTGGTTTCCGGGATTTGTCTATTCCATTTGGACTTCCAAAGGGAATTCAGCATGGATCATTATTTGGCCCAACAGACAGAAATTGAAGGCCAATAATTTTGGCCCTTTCCCTTTGATGGAAACAAGAAAAAGATAAGAATGAAGGGCCCACAAATGATCTATTCTGATCAAAGCAATGCCCTTCTGGTCTGTTCATTCCAAGAACAGTAGCAGAAACGGATTCAGAATTCATTCAACTTCTTCATCACTTAATTCATTCTCAGCGCTGCAAAAAGGTGGATAGAAAGATTGAGATGTGGTGTGGTCTTCCCCTGTTGGCAAGCAATGCTCCATTCCACATTGGTAGGCCCTCCACAAACCCATCCTTTTCTTTCCTTTTTTTTTTTTTTTTTTTTTTTCTAGTTCCATATTCCCTGTGCTTCACAAAAGAAATGAATTGAAATAGAGCTCCACAGTACACTGATTTCACACCAACTTAAGACAGAATAATATCAAGCTTGTTTAGAGGCAATTAGTGGCCCGAATTCTGGAGGCAAGAAAGCCTAAAAGAGATGAAACAAGAAAAAAGGAGAGGGTATTGGTACTTTGTAATGATGTTATTATCAAAGCGTAAATGGGATGAAAATGAAGGGTGTGGATTAACAAAGACTCATGAGACGCACGCTTCAAGACAAAGGCTATCCATTTCTCTTAACCTTCTGCATTACAATCTAAAACACTTTCCATTAGACTTAATTTCATCAACTAATTGATGTGTGGGACCCCTTTTGATCACTTACCTAAACCCTTTGTTATAAAGCTTATCAACTTGACCAAACCCAAATCTCAATCTTATTTTACTCATTCTACTGCTTTTTTCTTTTCCTAAGTTGTCTTGAATTTCAGGTCAGGGAATCTGGACACACAGAAATCTATTACTGTGGGAACAGAATATGAGGAAAGTGTTTTCATTCATTGAATTGATGAATTTTGCTTAATTCAGATTGAATATTTCACCTGATGAAGAAGGGAGAGATGAAGTTTAATCAATGAAAACAATGATGGCAGGAGGAGTGGAGTGGAGTGGACATCAACCGTCCCATAATTCAACATTATTACTAACAAAACCCCACCAAAATTGGGGTTAGACCCCATTAATCATGCTATTAAAAAAAAATTGTAGAACACAGCTCGTAGAGCACTATAAATTGGGGTCCCCTCAATGACTCTACTGTCGAATAATTTGCTCACCCACTCAAAATAGTTTGGAGAAGTAGTAGAAGAAGAAAGACAGACAGACAGACAGACGCGGAGAACATCCATCAATGGCCACCAAAATTTACATTGTGTAAGCCTCTCTCAATCCCTTCCTTATCTTCCTCATAAAACATTCTTTTGTACACAACAAAACCAATTTTCCTTTGATTATAATCCTCTTTTTGGTAATGAACTGTAATATGGCGATTGTTAAACCATTTTTCCTTTGGAGTTTTCTCTCCAAAATCGAAGCGATAAAGGTTGTTGTTATGAACGATGGGTCAATAACCCCACTTATCAAAGTCTCTGTTTTTAAAGATCAATACACATCCTGAAAACTTGGAGCCTGTAAGGCTCTGTTCTGTTGTGGTATATTTCTGTTAGGGATTATCCTGATTTCTTTTTGTGGGTTTGATTTTTCTGATTAAAAGTCAATCAACCTCTTTTAGGCGAGTGTAAAAGCTGTGAATCTTTTTGATGTTATGAGCTTCTTTTATAGGAGAAATTCTCTTTCTCTAGCTGTCTGTTTGCAATGTTACCCTGGTTGGTGTTTATGATAGTGTAACGGCCCAAGCCCACCGCTAATAGATATTGTCTATTTCGGCCCATTAAGCATCGCCGTCAGCCTCATGATTTTAAAACGTGCCTAGGGAGAAGTTTCCACACTTTTATAAGGAATGTTTCGTTCTCTTTCTCCAACCGATATGAGATTTCATAAATTGTGTTACAGTTTCTTAAACATCTGCATGAATAACGAGAAGAATATTTTCAACGACTGCGAATGATTTTAAGACATCAAATGGTTATCTTTTTCAATGTTTGTTCCATCAAGCACCTCAGCAATTTTTGAAGGTCACCCTCAAGATTTTGGGGCCATGAGCACACAGTCAAAGTGGTTTTTAATTACCATGAAAACTGAAGGAGTAAGAAACCTAACCTAACCTGTTGAGATCATGTATGAACTTTTGTGGTCCTAGCTTTAGGACTTTCACTTCTCATTCCTACTGTTTATTTTTTGATCCAAATCTATGGAAACTTCCACTGCTTAGCTTGTGTAATGTCACTGTATATACTGTTGTTTTGCTCTCAATGATAAGTTAAATTGTCTTGTCTCCATTCTAATCAGTTCTTTTAGCTGTCATATTTGTACGTTACTCTTCTAGGAAAGAGCTGCAACTTCCTGGAGATTTTCCTTTTGGTTTTTGTACAGTGTTCCATTGTTGTCGAGAACTCGGTTTGTCGTACAAGTTTCTTTTCTTTCTTTTCACATCACTTATCCGAAACATGTCGATTCCAATGAGGACAGCTGCGAGAAATCATGACCAACCGTAGCTGTTTGTAATATGGTCGGTCGACATGTCATATGTATGAGAAAAACTTTGGTGGTTATTTAAAACTTGTTGAGTATGTTGTACAGTTACTATTCCACATACGGACATGTCTTGAGGCTGGCAGAGGAAATTCAGAAAGGAGCTGCTTCTGTGGAGGGAGTGGAAGCCAAATTATGGCAGGTGCACGTCTTATTCCCGTCTTTTGGTCTTGGTTTATGATCTTAAATCTATCCTTTTCTCACTGCAAAGGAACTATGACTCTCCTTTCTTCACAGTTTTGCATTCTTTCATTTTTAGTTAACATGCATTGTGAGATCTCTCATCGATTGGAGAGAGGAACGAGTGCCAGAAAAGACGTTGGGTCTCTAAGGGAGGTGGATTATGAGATCCACATCGGTTGGAGAGGGGAACTAAACATTCTTTATAAGGGTGTGGAAACCTCTTTCTAATAGAATCGTTTTAAAATCTTGAGAGGAACCCCGGAAGGGAAAGCCCAAAGAGAACTATATTTGCTAGCGGTAGGCTTGGACTGTTACATGCATTAAGTACAAACAGCCAAGACAATGGCTCTTTGTGATCCATATTAATCATTGACAATTCTGCATACGATACTGTATTATGGGCTTGAAGTATACATGTGCAAAGTGATATAGAAGATATATGTTGAAGACTTCATATGATTTAGGGAACTGGTTTTGGTAGTGAATCCCCTGAATGAGTATATATAATATTTAAACAGGTGCCTGAAACGTTACCGAAAGAGGTTCTCGACAAGATGCAAGCACCAGCAAAGGGTGAAGCACCCATCATTACGCCAAACGAACTCGCTGAAGCTGATGGTTTACTCTTTGGATTCCCTACAAGATTTGGGATGATGTGTGCTCAATTCAAAGCTTTCATGGATGCAACTGGAGGTTTGTGGAGAGCACAATCACTTTCAGGCAAGCCTGCAGGCATTTTCTATAGCACTGCTTCTCAAGGAGGTGGACAGGAGACTACTCCGTGAGCCTCTTTTTAAAAACCTTCTCCCCTTTCTAAATTATTTTTAAACTGAAAATTTGATCTTAAAATTTTGTGTTATTGCAGCTTAACAGCCATTACTCAGCTGGTTCATCATGGAATGCTGTTTGTTCCAATTGGATATTCGTTCGGAGCTGGAATGTTCGAGATGGAGAACGTCAAGGGCGGGAGTCCCTACGGTGCTGGGACTTTAGCCGGTGATGGCTCCAGACAGCCTTCTGAACTGGAACTGCAGCAAGCTTTCCACCAGGGAAAGTACTTTGCTGGCATTGCAGAGAAGCTCAAGGGCAACTGATTGTTTTCCATCATATTATCATATAATTGTTCCCACCCTGCTATACTTATTTCTTCTCCCAGCCCTTATATGTATATATATATATTCTATGTCCTGTTGAATACCTATGTTGTCTTTAATTTGTGTATCTATTGAAGCTTACACAGCTACCAAACATTATTATCTATCAAATTTATCTGTTGGGTACTTTTAGCAATTATACTTTTAATACTAAAAATTTAGTCTATAATCTCGATCAAAGTCCCACACACGCCCGATAAGAAAATATTAGGAATATAAAAGTAAGATATTGGCATGCTAAACTTTTTTGGATGAAATTGAAAGCAAAGGCTACGAGGGTTTGTACTCTCAAAGTGGTAAGTGGTAAGTGGATAAGACGACCACTTTCCAACAAAACAGCTACCATACAATTTTATCCAATGCGAAGATGTTGTTTCCATATAGCTTGTGAATAAGTGCCATCATATCATCAAAGTGGCCCATCCAAATGGGTTTAACTTCATTGAAAGGCCTATCTGTTAAGGTTGTTGGTTGAAGACCACAGAACATGTTCTTAACAAAAAAAAAGACAACTGTTCAAATTCTGGGGGTACTGTCGTAGTACTGTGATTAGTTTTGTTTGTTTGCTTCTTTTTACCAAAAGAAAAATGCATATCAGGAGGGAATATATGAAGAAAGACAAAAAGTCAATAAACAAAATGTAATTGGAACAAGAACAGAGAGACAGAGAGACCGACAGAGATGTTTTGATTCCTGAATGGCACAGAAGATCAGATTCAAAGTTAGGAAAAGAAATGACACTTTTTTTGAGATATTTAAAACTTGAAACAGAAGTTGAAGGAAGTATTGTTGAAGTTGGTCTGGTTTTCTTTCAAACCCATAAAAAAGAGAGATATGTTTGAATTTTGAAAAGTTAGAACTGGAAATAGCTGGAATGGATGCTTCTGAATATGTGCTTTTCATTTTATAAACATCATAACCAGATGCCTCTCAGAGCTGTCTTTTCCTTTTTGAGTATTCCCCTTTTTTCTTCTTTTCATGAACCATATATACCATAGCCCAAAAGGAAAACAAAATTGGTTCCAGAGATGAGATAGAAGCAAATCTGAAGTACTGATCCGGATTGTCTCAAGCATGGTGTAAAATATAATACCCGTCAACCCATCTACTAACTGTGAGCTTGGACCATTACAAATGGTACTAGAGCCAGACACCGTGCGGTGTGATGGCGAGAACGTTGGGATCACCTGGATTGTGAGATCCCACGTCGGTTTGAGAGGGGAAGAAAGCATTTCTTATAAGGGTGTAAAAACTTCTTCATAGTAGACGTGTTCTAAAACTGTGAGGCTAATGATTATACGTAACGAGCCAAAACGGACAATGTCTACTAGCGGTGAGCTTAGCTGTTACAAATGATATCAAAACTAGACATTGGGCGGTGTATCAGTGAGGATGTTGGGTCTCCAAGGAAGGTGAACTGTGAGATCCCACGTCGGCTGGAGAGGGGAACGAAACATTTCTTATAAGAGTATGGAAACCTCTCCTTAGTAGACGCGTTTTAAAACCGTAAACTTAACGACAATATGTAACAGACCAAAACAGACAATATCTACAAGTCACCGAAAAAGATGAGCATTTTTAATTACTACGAAGAATTTTAACCACGAAAAGCACTTCCTCACATGATTGGTCACTTGTCAAAATGGTTCTTCCACGTTAAGCTTCTTAGAAATGTTGAGTTCCAGTTTTGCTTGAATTTACAAAGAAAAGCAAAGGGAGAAAGAAAACAGCTTTCCTGCAATAGGCTTTTGATTGGTTGTGTTAAAGAAACAATGCGACTCATTTGAACATGACAGACAAGGTTTGTGGTCATTATTAATTAGTTGGCTGTCAAGATAACCTTAATCTTCTCTTTGGGGACATCTATGAATAATCATTGTTTGGTTGTCTTCATTGAGTGTTCTTACGTTTTGCAAGAGAGAAGCTCATGCTTGGTTAAATAAATCATTTTCCCTTTCTAAGAAGACAAGGGTGATACCCGCTCTAAGCTCGGCCCGCACGCAGTTAGGAAGATTGGCCATCTTTGACTCTATTCCCTGACCCAAACCTATTTACCCAAGTTATTAACCTAGCCTAAACCTTACTTTTACTCTATTCCCTAAATCCTCGGTGCCTGTGTGTATGTTTTTTCAGTTCAGGAAACGATATTTTTTCAAATTTTGATCGAACCAAGTGTAGATGGAGCGAGAAAACGAGGTAGAGCAAGATCATGACCCGTGATTAATCTTTTTGTGTTTTAGAGTGTGTTAAATAATCATCTTATATAATTTTTAAAGGTTATAATACTTTTTTATTGAAAAAAAAAAAAATTCCAAAAACAATCTATTATAAATATTTTATTTAAAAATTTGTAATCATAAATCTAACATGACGCATCAATACAAAAAATATATTCTTTGTTTCTTTTTTCGTTTGAAAACACTCACCCATTTACTTTATTGTCATATTCCACAACAAAAATACCATTTTCATTCTTATCTAAAAACACACAAGTACAAATGAAATTAGAGAATATAGTCGAGGCTAACTTAATAGATAAGACACTGATTATCATTTTCAAAATTAATAGTTGGATTTCATGCGTACGTGCTTATACAGGACGTTTGTAGGCGATTGTGTGGCACTCACTCTCACTATCGAGTGAGTCAGCCAACTCAAAATCGTGTCGCTTTCGGCCTGACGACGTATACCCAAGTCTCTAGCCCTACTTTATAAAAAAAAAAAAAAAAATAGAAGATGGGGGCAGGATGGGCTTGATTTTAAAAAGAGAGTTTGAAAACAGGATCGAGAGAAATGAAGAAAGCAATGTTATAAATTATAAACGAAAAATGCAACACAAACGAGTTTGATAACATATGACTCTAGATAGTAAGAACTGACAGCTAGTCATATCCCCTATAGTACATTATAAGACATTTTAGGTCTAATATGCGTAGACATAATTTTGTCAAAATATTATACACTACAAAGTAAAATAAGGAAACTATACATAATGAGAGCGGTAAAAAAAACAATAAAGTGATACAATGAAAACACGCAAGTATAGACAACACGTGTCAGATAAGTATGAACGTGACACGTTGTGGAACGAACATTGGGGGAGCATATATATAGAATGGTATATGGCCCCGTGTAGGTTCATAATAGCACGCGCGCATGCCGCTGAGAAACCCTAAATTCAAAAGCACAAAACACAGTGGGGCGCCCCCACCCCCCTCTGAGCTTCCACTACCAATCCACAACATTCCAATTCCCAAATTATTATTATTATTATTATTATTTAATCTGTTCCTGTTCCAAAATTATTATTATTTAAATTTGAGAAAGAAAATAAATAATAATTTTCAGGGGGAGCCAAAATGAAGTTGATAGATTAAAGATTAAAAATTAGAGATTAAAAGGAACAGGAACACAGAAGGGCCAATTTTATACTATAATTCAGCCCCCATCTGCTAAATCCAGCTATCATCAACTGCCCACTTCACCGCTGCCGTGTCCGTGTCCGTGTCCGTGTCCGTGTCCCTGTCCGTGTGGTTGAGTACTTTACCTGAATTTAGCACTTGTTCCTGTTCTTCCCAATATTACTACTAACACAATTACTACCCATCTCTGTTTTTTTTTTTTTTTTCCATCATTATTACACCAAATTCAATCTTATATTAATATATATATCTCTTCACCGGAATGTTCCGCCGAACGTCGGTGACCAGAAATCCGCGGTTGTTGCATTCGTCACTGGAAATGTGCTTGAGATCGGCACCAAACAAAGGCCTCGGCTTTTCAGATCTTGTTTTGGGTTTGCTTTTTCTGATACCTGGAATTCAAGCAACTGTAAAGCTCATAACTTATTTATTTATTTATTTATTTTTTGGGTAATTTGAAGAAAGTTCATATTTTTCTTTACCTGTTGATGTTGAACGGGTGTTATTCCGTTGTTGTTTTTCATATATGGAGTGCTTAACAGCTGAAAATTTCGAGTAATGAATGAACTGATTTGGGTTTTAAAAGGAAATTAAAGATGAAATTTATGTAAATAATGGAACGTACACTGACTTGATCGTGGAGGAACTTGATGTACTCAATGGCTTCATGAAGAACTGAGGCTGTATCAGTCTGAGGAAAAAAGAGAGGAGAATTTACATGGAGATATAGTTTTACCGTAAATATTGTCTACTTCTAGGTAGAGGCTTCCACACCTTTATAAGGAATGTTTCGTTCTTTTTCCAATTGGTGTAGAATCTCACAATCCACTCCTCCTAGAGACCAGCGTCCTCGCTGGCACATCCCTCAGTGTCTAACTCTAATACCATTTATTATAGCTCAATTCCACTGCTACCAAATACTGTTTGGTTTGACTCATTACGTATCATCGTCAGTCTCACGGTTTTAAAACTACTAGGGAGAGGTTTACACACTGAATGTTTTGTTCCCCTTCTCAACCGAAGTGAGATTTCACAATCCACATCTTAAGGTACAGCATCCCCGCTAGCACACAACCCAATATCTAACTCTAATATCACTTGTAACAGCTCAAATCCACCGCTAACAAATATTGTCCGTTTTGACTCGTTATATAAAGTTGTCAACCTCACAATTTTAAAAATATTAAAAAAAGATTTTCAGAAGGTTTCGTTTACTTCTCCAATCAATAAGATATATCTTAAAAGTTTGTATATTTTTTTTTTTTTGGAAAAAGGACGAAAGGATGAAATCCAAAAACTCACCTTTCCAAAGGGTGAAACCAGTTGTTGAAGGGCAGTGACTCGGTCCCCTAGCTTCTCTTTCCGCACCTGATAGCAAACCCATTAGTTTTTGTCCTTTTTATAACTCAAGATTCTTCAAACATTTTTTTTTTTTTGGATCCTTCACCTTAAATGTTGGCAATGGCGAAGGAGTTTCAATTCGAGGCCTTTTCAACACCGGCGGCTCATTTTTATCACCTTTCCTTGCTTCTTCACCATCTTCATAATTACCATTATTCATAGCCTGAAGAGAAACAATCAAAATCAATCAAGTGTTACCCAAAACCTAATCATACCAATCAAAATCATACCTTGAAACCAAGCCTACTATTCTGTGGAATTTCAATGGAAGGAGGTGCGTGCGAGGTATTCCAAAAGGG